TCTGCAAGGTCATTTGCTTTATCCCCAAGCGTGCCTTACGAATGTCGTGCAGTGAGAAGTAGTTGGCGGTTGCACCACAATCAGCCAACGCACGAATGTAACGACCATTAATGTAGAGTTTGAAGAAGATCAACTTCGTTCTCCCTTATGCGTGTTCTTGCTTCATATGAGCCCAACGCGTCAACAGAGCATGGAAGTCAATTTCTTCCGACTCCACCCAAGGCTCCTTGTATAGGATGTGTATTTTCTCTGCCTTGGAATCAGCATCAGATGGGGTCTCAGGAGAGGTTTGCTGAGTGGGATCAGAATCCAATGAAGGAATTGTACTTACATGTTCAGCCTGATGATGTCTCTACCCTCGTTGCTGGTTTCCTTGCTGCAATCTGAAACAATGTTGGACTGAGTGTCCCGGTTTGGTGCAATGCAGGCGAACCCCTTTCTTCACCCTGTGTTTCCACTCACTTTCACTTATCCGGAGATCTACCCATGGTTTGGTGGTAGGATCTTCCGGTTTGGGTGGAATCTTCGCTCCCTTGGGAAGAAGAATGGTGTTAGTGTTGTTCTTCGTTGTGGTCCTGGGTCCCTTACTTTTGAAGGCAGTCTTCTTGAAGGCATTCATGGATTGTTCATCATTTACATACTCAGACTCATGAGTTGACGAAGAGGAAGATGCTTCGCAACCTTGCTCTTGATCGTCATCAAGAGAAGGATCCTCTGCGAAGGTCTCCTCGTCATCTTTAAGTAGATCATGGGCTGAAAAACGGTTGTCGCCTGGGAACCGTTTGCATCCGGTGGCCTTTTTGCCACTCGATCCACCCGGGAGGTCTTATGCCTCCAGCTTGACTAAGTCCCGCATGAGGGTAAGCCAATCTATGTACGCTATGAGTCCGAGCCCCAGGCGATGTGTTATAGTAGAGGGGAGCGTACCTTTAATCACATCCAAGCAAGACTGCGCAGTCATCTCCAAATCAGGAGTAGCAAAAAGTTTACTGACGTACTGCTGCAGACTATGCATGGTGCCGGTCTACTTGCTGTGCTTGAGCTTGTCACGCTTAAGTCTAACTTTGGCTGCAGCATGTGGATCAGCATACTGTTTGATCAAGAGTTCCTCGAGTGTGGCTACAAGCGTGGCCTTCAGCCATTTGTTCAGGTTTATTCTTTTATAGCCTGCTTGCACAACTTGGGTTTCTAAGAAACCCCTTACGGCGGGTTTCACATTGGTCCCTAGGACAGACGACTGAGTAACCGAGAGTGTCCTCAACACATCAAAGTAGGATCGCATAGAGCTGATCCAGGATTCAATGTTGTCCTTTCCGTCGTATTTAGACGGAATTTGTGTCGCCTTTCCATCCATGTAAGGAAGGCTGTAGCTAGGACCAGCAGTTGCTGGGTCCGGATTTGGGGCTGCAACAGTACTGAATGCCCTGCGCTGCCACTTGTCGCTGCAGCAGCAGCAGCAGCAACAGCGGGGTCTGGACCTGCAACAGGTCCGGTTAGGCTGTTGGCCACACTCAAAGAAGAGGAAGAAGAAGAAGAAGACACGGTTAGAGGGGCAAGAACGGACTGACACGCAGCACTAGAAGCAGGGTAAGCAGGCGGAAGGACATTTTGGGCCGGCTTCAAGTTAGAAAACTGTTGCAGCTGGTCACGGTGCTGGTACGCCATCCGGGCCATATCCTCTCACGACTTCTTGAGTTCGTCGAACACCTTTGCGAGTTGGCCAGTATGGTCTTCAACGGCCCGAACTTCTACTAAGGCCCTGAGGAGTGGGACAATCTTCTCTTCCACCTCAGCATCAGTTAAGGCGGGCACGGTACTGAAGACGACTTCATGAGCCTTTACTTTGTCTTCCCTCTCCTTCTCCCTCTCTTCCTCTTCCCTCTTCAATGCTTTCTCATAGAAGAATAGGTACTGCGCTTTTTCTGCCTCAAGGGCAACGTCCATTTGCAGCTTCCATTCTGCCGCAGATGCCATGATGGAGGATGAGGGTGTCAATAAGTCTCTCAAGAGGGTCCGTACTTCCTCACACTTCTGGGACGAACACTCCTCTTCCCTGTCCTCACTCCCTCAAGAGCAACACTCAGAAGCTTCTCTCTTCTCTCTCTTTCTCTCGTTTGCGATCGTGTAGACGCAGGCATTTAACGAACCCAATGAAAGAAGCAGCTTGAAATCAATTAGAAGAGAAGGTAGAACTCCTAGCTGGAGCGACAATTCATTTGGACTGGAGAGCAGTCAAAACAACGAAAGAAATAAAGCTCAAAGAGATCTGATCCAGCCACACAGTCTGGACCGACTACTTATGAGGTCCTCTCAAGCCTAGCCGTACTCAGCTCCGTGAAGACACAACAAATCAGATTCAAAGTGTGCTACGTAATGCAAGAAAGAATTGAGTAGTGCTCAAGGTTCGAGTTAGACGACGAATCGTGCATTAAAGTCCGATAAAACGTCTCAGCGAAGATCCCCTCCGCAGCGAGTGTCCAGGTCCGAAAGCATAAAGTCTGAGTCCCAATCAGATAAAGCAAGGTAACTGACGTCAACAGATTTGGCCACAGGGGCCCTTCTTGTTTGGGCCTGGTCCCACTGAGTCCCAAACGGTCACAACCAACAAGAGTTCCACAAAGACCTACTCTGTCCCTACCGAATTGAAAAACGAAATGTTGCCCCAAAAAGAACCTACAAACTACAACTGTTCAGAATGAAATAGATAAAGCATTCTAGAAAGATATAGCATGGCACAAAAGATACTCCATCCATTCACTCATCAGGCGCGTAAGCAGTTCACGCACCTCACGCAAGATCAAGACTATGGAGGATGGAAGAAAAACCCAGAAAACCCCAACAGGCAGTCAATTCCATGCACACACACATGGGCACCCTGGCGGCACGACACTTACCTGAGTGGCCGGGCTCTTGAGATGAAAGAACTCACCCCCCTCTCACATAGTCCTCCTGACCCAATTAGCATCCTCTACACTAGTGTTGCATACTGTAACGGTGCAGACCAGAACAAGAACCGACCTCTTTCACAAAGTACAAGATAGCGTAGCGGAAGACTTAGATACCAATGATCCGAACATACATCATCATCATCACTCCATGGTGTGAAGGGGTCTGGCGCTCACACAGGAAGAATGCGCCAGCCCCAACCATACACAGACGAAGAAGAGGGGGGTTAGACGAAGAAGAGGGGAAGATGGGAATGTCGTCAACACCAAGTCTTCGGCACAGGCCCAAATAGTCCCTGGTCAAAATGTCTGAATTCCAATGTCGAGTCTGGATCCAATGTCGTCAAGTCTCAAGTCACAACTCTCTCTCTCTCTCTCTCTCTGTCGTAGTCTGCTGATACCGAGAAGTCAGGTAGTGAGAGGGTGATGAAGAGATGGTGGACTTAGAAGAGGAAGAAGAAGAACTCTCTCTCTCTCTCTCAGTCCAGTACTAACCTGTGAAGTTGGCGCCTCGATGCAGGTACCTCGAAGATGGAGCTGGAGCTATGGCGCCACAGGTAAGTCTCACTGGCCTCCGCCAACCATCTCTCCCCAACACTACTGCTACCACCTACTACCTTCTTCCCCCGAATACAACGTACGGTCATTATAGCTGTATTTAGACTGAAAGATGCCCCAAATACAGCTATAATGACCGTACGTTGTATTCGAGGGAAGAAGGTAGCGCCCAGTGCTGAAGACTACTGCTATGGCTACTAGCGCCCAGCGCTGAAGACTACTGCTAGCACTAAGCTGCTCCTCCAGAGTGCTGCTGCCGAATCCTAAAGAGTACTCTTGCCTTCTGTCCAACAACCCCCCGTGAAGTGCATGGGAACTCCCTATGTACTACTCGGCCTGCCTCCCGACTGCCTCCAGCTGCAGGGCGAGGCAGTCCAGGAGGCTGCTCTTGCCAATGCTAGGGCAAGCCAGGGGCTGGCGCTGCAGCTCCTGTTGAGGCTGGCGTGGGGAACATGCCAAAAATAGTCTGTTCCCGAAACCCTGGTTTGTTGCCTGAGTTCTAGGGCAGGACGATCTTATGAGGGCCCGAAAGTGGCCCTCCGTTTCAGGCTGAAAATACTCAGGGCCTAAACGGCCCTGTTATAGGCTGAAAACGAAATAGGGCCTGCAGGCCCTCGTTTTCAGTTTTCAGGTTGAAACGACATGGGGTCTGTAAGCCCTTATTTCTAGGCTTTTAGGCTGAGAATGCGGAACGGGCCTACAGGACCGTGTGGCTACACAGTATGCCACACCCCCCCCTCCTTGAAAATCGAGCTTACCTGCGAGGGCGAAGCTGTCTGTCTGAGGGAGGGACCACAGTCCGGGTGGGAGGGGCAGGTCGTGGAGGTCCCTTAGCTAACCTTTGCTTTTCGTAATGAGCGTAGATCAGCGGTGCGGATGCTTTCAAATCTGCTCCTGAAATCCACCGAGTGTCGTCACGATCTCATGATTTGAATTTAACCTTGTACTGTCGAGGCGTGCTGCCGTACTTGCGATCGGTGATGACGCGGTCAACTTCCTGATGACCATCCATAGAAGGAGGGTCCTGCGATCGTCGGCCCGGGAAGTCGTCGCTCTTAGCTGGTGTGTATGTTGCCAGCTTTGAGGCGTGAAAGACTGGATGGACCAGCAGATGCAGGGGGATGTTGATCACAAACGAGGGGCCATCGGGCTCATCACCCGCGGCTGATGTTACGGGCCATGGTCCAAACCACTTGGGGAGCAGTTTGCGTGAAACATTCTGTTCCAGTGCAAACTCTTCCGCGGAGACCCATACCAGATCACTGGCACGGATGGGACATGGCATGCGATGCCTGTTGGCTTGCTGTTGCATGCGGACTTGAGCCTTTTGCATATTCGCGCGGGCTTGAGCCAGCAATTCCCTGTACTTTCGGACGGAAGCGGGAGAGCAAGCGGCGTTGATGTCGGCTGGTCGTGGGAGGAGTCGGCCAAGATACGGCCTTTTCGTCCACCGTGGTGCAACTCGAATGGAGTCACGCCGATCGCCGGGTGCGCCGAAGTGTTGTAGGCGAACTCGATGTCGGGGAGGCGGTCAACCCAATCTTTCTGGTCCGGACGGATGAGCGTACGAAGCATCATTTGAGCGGTTTGATGTGCCCGCTCCGTTGCCCGTCCGTCTGTGGATGAGCAGCCGAACTTGGTTTCATCTTCGTGTCGGACTCCTGCATGAGAGCAGTCCAAAATGCCGACATGAAGCGAGTGTCATGGTCGCTGACTATGTCTTCTGGTACACCGTGGCCGCAAATCCAGCCGGTGTGCAAGAGGCGTGCCAGCTCGGGAGCCGTGGAGTAGTACTTGCAAGGGAGAAAACGTGCGTACTTACTCAAACGGTCCACGACCGTGAGGATGTCGTCGTGCCCGAGGCAGTCGCGAGGAAATGGTCCGGTGACATCCATGGCAATGGAGAGACCAGGTTCCCGTGGGATCGGCATCGAGCGCAACTCGCCGTAGGGGTTGCGGTTGCGGGGTTTGCTTCGTCGGCAAACTTCGCAAGAGTTGCAGTACCGAGTGACATTGGTAATGAGGTCGGGCCATCGGAATCGTTGCCGAATTCGTGCAATAGTGCGATTGACTCTAGWATGGCCGGCGAGTCGCGAGTCATGGTACTCACCGAGAAGGCGAGTCCGAATACGACGGTCGCGTGGGACACACAATAAGTCCTTGCCTCTCGAGTGGAGGAGCAAGTACCCGTCGAGGATGCGATAGTGGCTGGTCGGCGGGTGATCCGAAGATAGTTGCGTATACAACGTGGCAAAATCCGTATCAGACTCATAGCCCCGGATGAAGTGTCGCTGGAGTTCCTCGTCGAATGCAAAGGCATGATCTGTCAAAGCGCAAAGATCAGGTCTTCGCGAGAGTGCATCTGTTGCGCGATTGGAGAGGCCGGGGAGATGTTTCGGTGTGAAGTTAAATTGGTCGATGAAGTACATCCATTGTCCGATCGTGCTGCTCACCGTATCCTGCGTCTTGTAGTAGGTCAATGGGTTGTTGTCCGTGACCCATGTGAACCTATGACGCCCAAGGAGGAAGTGTCGCCATCGCTTGAGAGCCATCACGAACGCGAGCAGCTCCTTCTTCCTTGCATCATCAAGTGAATTGATGGGAGGCACTTTGTGGCTGAAATACTCCACAGGGTGCCAGTCGTCTCCGTCGTGTTGTTCCAAGACCGCCCCAATGCCATAGCCAGAAGCGTTAGTTGTCACTCTCGTAGGCAGGGTGGGGTCATAGATGCTAAGGACGGGTGCCATGAGCATGGCCGTCTTAAGTGCTTGGAATGACCGGCGTGCGTCGTCATTGAATACGAATGGCACCTTTGACGATTGTAATCTCGTCATAGGTGCAGCAATCCTTGAGTGCCCGGTGATGAATCGCTGATAGTAGCCCGCCAACCCCATGAATGAATGGACGTCTGTGGTGTTGGTGGGCTTGGGCCATACGCGGAGGGCCTCGATCTTGTCCGCAAGCGGACGGATGCCTTGCGGCGTCACATAATGTCCCAAGTACTCCAGCTCCTGCCGTGCGAATTCGCATTTGTCGTGGTTGGCTTTGTACTTGGCTTGTCGTAGCCGCTCCAAAACGGTGCGTAGGTGTTCCATATGCGTAGCCAAACTGGTACTGGCTGTCCGTTTCGGCCGGCGATGCGGTTTTCGCCTTCCCGTTTCCTCAGGACTTGTTGTTGCTTCGCGGCTGGACAGCAGCCACCTGCTACCTGATCTCCCTCACGTGACGCTTGGGTGGCTGCCGGGTCTTCCACAATGTTGTCCGATTGGACTGCAGCGACATGCTGCAGCCGCGGACCAGTTTTCACCTTCTCCACATAGGTTGGCTGCCATGTTGACTTCTCGTGTGCAGCCGCCCTGTTTGTCTTGATGATCTCCCTCGCCTTGTTGATGATTTCGGTGAAGGTGTTGTACTGCTCGCGATCACCAAGCGCGAGGCTCAAAGCGGCGCATGACCGGTTGTAGAACTCCCGGCGCAGATGGCGGGAATGGCAAGTCCAGATCGGGCATCGCCACGATCTTCTGCCAATCCGTGAGCCAATCACGTGTCGCTGTGTTTCCTTGAGCCATCGTGAAGATGCGGTTGATGGCGATCGTCGGGGCGTCGTCAACGATGAACCGCTTCTTCCATTCTTTTGTCAGGTCTTCCCAGGAGACCTTCTTGTGTAGGTCGAAGACCTGGACGCCGTGGACGGTTGCCATATGGCTGAGCCAAATCTGGCATCCTCCCTTGGCGTTAAGGAACAGTGCGCCGATGAACAGATGTTCGGGAATCCTCATGAATCCCCAACTCCGTTGTGAATCCTTGCCACCAGACGACCGGGTCTTGATGTGTGTAGTCATCAAACTTCTCGATCCGGAAAGTCGGCATTTTGTAATGCTTCGCCGTGCTGGTGCTGCGATCGGGGTCAGACGGCTGTTGTCGCTGCCTGATCTCGGTCTTCAGTGTGTCCAGCTGCTGGCTGATGGTGGCCGGCGCTGTGAAGGTGCTGAGATCACCTAGCATTGCTACTACGTGATCGACGCGTTCCTCCAGTTGGCGGGCAGAGGGTGCACTGCTGGACTCGCCAGTCTCCGGTCTTGGTGCAAGTCCTGTACACGGGAATCAAGTGCACGTGCTGCATCCTCAATGCTGAGCCTTGTGGTTCCGCACGGCCCGCTGGAGATTCGCCAGCTCGGACTGCAGGTGGTTACAGGTGTAAAGCAACCGGGTCACGAGCTTGGACAAAAATTCCTTATGCTGCTCCTCCGGTGTCGCGGCGTCGTGCTCCTGGGAAGGTTCAAAGTGCCAAAACTTGAGCTTTTCGATGCTGGTGGCTTCATGCCGCTGTAACAGATCCTGGGCCTCCTTGCGGCGTGCCTGGGTATCTGCTTCGGCTTCGGCTTGAAGCCGCTGCTTTTCAACTGTTGCCGCCGCTTCAGCTTGTAGGCGGGCAGCCTCGGCTGCCAGCTGGCGCTGTTCCTCAGTCTCGATTAGTCCGAGCTGAGCTTCGAAGCGCTGTCGGAACTCGGCAATGGACTCATTGGCCAGTTGGCCTGGCATGCCCAGAGCTGAGCCCGTCATGGTGGCGGGCACTGCTGACGTGGCACTGGACGTGGTACTGCTGACGTGGCACTGTTGCTGATTTGGCACTGCTGACGTGGCACTGTACCAATCCGGGAATGCATGCGAAGGGGTGGGTGGGAGGGAAAACGCAGGTAGGTAACCAACCCAGCTATACTTTCCTCCCGGTCCTAATCAACAGACTAAATAAATAAATAAAATGAAAGAAGAAGATTACCCCCCCCTTCTTTTTTTTTGTGTGTCTGTCGATCTGCTATGAGTGAGGCATGTCAGAAGAGTACTATGAGCGAGATCTAGGCCAGATTCCGCAAAGTTTCGGTTTTCACAAAAATGCGATTTTGAAAAAAAAAAAATTGCGAAGTAGAGTAGAGATGCGATTTTCAGAAAAGAACTAAATCTAATTTCTGAGAATATGACAACTGTGAGGAACAAACCCTCAAGTGTCCCTATCAGACATCACATTGTTCTGGGCCAAGGCCCCAGCAAGCCAAGTGCCCGCCCTAAGTGAAGGCGGGCCTGAATATTCGTCACAGGCCAAATTCGACATTTCCGTATGTGGGTATTCAGGCTCTTGCAGCGCGTCAGTTGGTTGAGTGAACGCGCGAGCCTCACTAAGCTGCGCCATACAGTTGGCCCAGGCCTCGAAAGTTGTGCCTGGGCACCTATACACCAAAGCAGGGCCGATACATTGAGAAGCAGGCCGTCGGCCTTTGGAAAAACAGTACAGCCGACGCACCTAGCTGGGGGCCCTGCGCAGATGCAGCTAACAGCTTAAGTCCTGAGACTCAGGCCGCACCCAACTGTAAAGGGCCCAGGCCCGCAACTGTAAGTCTCGGCCTGGGCACAGGGTCTGAGGCCCAACCGGAAGCTTCTGGAAGCTTCCAGCCGGGCCTGCTGCATAAGCCAGGCCACACGCAGCATGCAGCAGGCTGCCACTTCCAGAAAGGAAGTGAGGCAGCCCAGGCCAGGCATTCTGGCCAGCGCTGGCAATGCGGAAGTGCTGATGCGCTCTCGCTTGATGCTGCGCTGCTGCCAAGGGCGCTGACGGGGCGCGAGAGGTGAAGTGGGGCGCTGCAGGGCAGCTGGGCGCAGGCGGCCATAGCCGGGCTGCTAGGCGCCAGGGGGTACAGCGGATGATCGGGTGGTCTTCAGGGAGTGAGGCGCTGTGTGGGGTAATCAAGGTCTGATTGAGGGTGACGAGATACGTACCTGGTACATGAAGAGAGGTCGCCGATGGTGTGGACATGAGCCGAAGTGATCCTGTTGTGTGAACCAGCTGTAGAGTAGGGTAGTATGGTAGAGTAGGCTGGGCGCTGTGCGCCAGACAGAGAGAGCGACTCTGGATACTGTGTTGGTGTGGCCTACGAGCTTGGACATTGGCTCAATACTTCATTGTATTGGTCTTTATGGATGGTTTTCTCGGTGCATTTGTACTCTCTACTTGGGATACTATTAGTTGCTCAGCTGTGTGATTTCGCAACTTGGTTTTATGTATATTGCTCACACTCATATTCCTTGCAATTTGGTATCGGAGCTGGTTGTGATCACCGCTTACCTGACACCGGTGACATTGTAACTTGGTGCGCTGAGGATGCTTCATGTGCAGGGAGAATACTTTGCCGCTGGTTGATTAGCGGGGCCTAGGTAGAGACGCCAGCCGCTGGATGAGAGTATGCTGATGTGGCATTTTGGCTGAGGTGGCACTACATTGCGTTGTGGGTGGTACCGAGGCTATTGACCGGTCATCGAAATGCACATCAGCCCAATTGGTGAGAAATCTGTGGTTGGGGGCAGCTATCTCCAGGTACGTTATTCCCATTCCTTATCTACCCTCTCAATCTCTTCTTACCGTGAGGAAGTGAGTCCAACTTGAGTGTCCTCTCTTTGGTAAGGAGTCGTGTGCGCTCTATCTTNCTACCCTCTCAATCTCTTCTTACCGTGAGGAAGTGAGTCCAACTTGAGTGTCCTCTCTTTGGTAAGGAGTCGTGTGCGCTCTATCTTGAGAGACGACATTCTTCCTGGTGGCGCATCTGGCAGGAGAGGGCGGTGCCTCTGAAGGGCCCTGGTCGAAGCACGTGGGTCACGGTCACCATGCCAACCCAATGGGATTAGTACACGCATGCGATGGCTGCTTTGTCCATTGACGCTCTTTGCTGCGCTGATGGAAAGGGGTGTGCGGACTGATTAGTCCTATTGAGACGCTCCCAGACCGTCTATAAACATTTCTGGTTGGGGTCTGAACTGTTCACTGGCTGTGATCGTCGTCCTGTTTGCGACGTTAAATAATTGCTGAGGAGATGGGGGCTCTCCTTAAATCCCTCCTGATCAGCCAGATCATTCAGACGTAAGGCTCGTTGCACGCGAGGATAAACAAAGGGGCAGGCTGGTCATAAGCATACTTCTTGGGCACAAGTGTGGGCCGTGGTTGCACACCTTAGACACCGCAGCTTGATGATGCTCACAGGTACGTTGGATATAGGGGAAGGGGATTCCAATTGTGAACTCAACTGTACATCACTGACATATCCATTGCGCATACATCTGCTCACATTAGTCTGAATTTTATTTTGATTAGTTGGTTGACCAATTGCTGACACCTAACAGACAGACTAGAGATAGGACTGTAATCTACCATAGTCAGTTCCTCTCCAATCTTCTGTGCAGACTAATCAGGATAAGACTTAGGCAATGTGTATAGTTTGAGAAGATGCTGTTGATGCCACTTGACTAGTAGGCTAGGTAACTCGCCGGACATTTATTTATTTATTTTAAGATCCGGTCAGACGCATGCTGCGGTAGGTTCCAGCGAGGACATTAGTGCAGACAGCGTCTGCCTATCCTATTGAGTGGATCAGGGGGTGAGGGATGTGCAGATAACGATAGGAGGTTAACAAGGCTAACATCCCTTAGAATCCCTAGAGTGTTCCAGACCCTACAACCGGGAGAAGAGAGAAGATTAAGGGCTGAAGCCAGGGCCCGTAGTCTTGAGGCTGCAAGAGAAGCAACAACCGCTTGGGCGGTATCAATGAGTAATGCTACTTCCGCAGCAACTGCTGCGAACTCAACTGGTCAAGGGCTAGGCATGCGGACCAGTTCACAGTCAATCTCCAGTACGTCAGGGGTTGGCACTAGTCAAATGGCGGGCTTGCAGTTTAGCTCGCCGCCTCCACACACCCGGGAGCAGATGGAGCTCCAACAAGTAGAGAGGATCCGCTTAAGGTTAGAGGAGGAACTTAGGCAGGCTACTAAAAGAGAAAAAGAGATCAAAGATAAAAGTGCTCGACTACAGGGCAGGGAGGCAGACCAGGCTGCGTTAGAAGGATTAGATGACTCGGCCCTCAACAACAATGAAAAGATTCTGAAGGCGAGCATCCTGTCCATGCATGCATACATGGACAGTAAACTGGATGCAATCCAGGACACCTTGGACCAGATCCTGAATGCCATGCACAAGCCAGGGATCTAAAAGAGGATCCGCTTAAGGTTAGAGGAGGAACTTAGGCAGGCTACTAAAAGAGAAAAAGAGATCAAAGATAAAAGTGCTAGACTACAAGGCAGG